CAAGATGTGTAATATGTTTACAGGAATTAATAATATAGCATAATATATCAAATTTCTTGGGTTTTTAAAAATTATAACCTGTTTCTCAAGCTTCTACCTTTACTCTTATGTACTATTTTATTCGGTTAACTTTTTTTATGAACATAGAACTAATAAATATTTTCTTTGTATAGATATGTATTTGAAGGAGGCAGATACAATTCTGGAATAAGAGAAACAAGATAAAAATTATAAATCATACAGCATTCAAACCATTACCAGGAACATCAATATTCCATGCTTAATTTTGTATATACATAAATAAGAAGTAAAATAATAAAAAATAGGAATATTAATAAAAGCAAAATAATACTTTACTTAATTTTTTATTAATTTTTAGCCGATTTTTTTCTCCTTTTAGTTGCAGCTATTTAAATTAGGCGCGCATTGTCCCGATAAAAAAAATCGATTAAAATCGATTTATTTGGCAAAATATCGATTTTATTTTGCATCGATTATTTCCGAATCGATGCTTTTTTTTAACATCGCCATCACTATTAGCAGAGAGAAGGATGAGAGTGGTCATCCCCTCGATTTAGCTGCAACCGGAATTCAAAGCGCCTCTATGTGCACAAAACGTGCACATTGAACTACGTAGCCATGTGCACGATGCTCCCGAGTGGTAACAGGCTATGTGCACGGTACGTGGTTCGATTCCGTGCTATGTGCACAGATGAGCGCCAGTAACACGTAGCTGTTAAAGGAGATGAGTTCGAGACCTCGCAGGGCCAATTTTTTTTTTTTTTTTTTAGTACGACTATATTTGTCAATTTAATGAAATCCTTTTAATTATTGTGGAATAAAGAGATAAAATGCATTTCTCAAGCGTACGCGAGAAAATCGAAATCAAAAATAATGAGTGCCGTATAAATACGTATGGAATAGAGCGTTATATCGAAGAGCGTGTGGCGTAGCGTTAAGGGGCTAGACACGTACCGTCGAGATTAGAGGTTCGATTCTCAAGGAGTGACTTTTTTTTTAATATTTTTTTATTTTAAATAAAATTTTTTTTACCATAAAATGTAATTTTTACACAAAATAAATGTAAATAACACGATTTATTTACTTATAACACGTATATTACAAAAATGCATTTTTCTTTGCCTCAAAAAGCCGTGAAAAGCCGTCTGTAGAATAGCTGTATGCGATAGGAACTTGTATGATTATCTGTTTAATTAAAAATTATCCGATTTATGTCGTGTTTGGTGTCGTTGAAATCGCAAAAATCTCAATAATCCATTAATATTATTTTTGAATAGATAAAATGCAAAATAAAGGTTTTAGTTTTTCACTTATAAGATGTTTATATTTGTGAATTGCCATGGATGGGGAAGCCTATTGTTCGAGAGTTCGGAACTTTCTTTGATGATAGGTCCTCTCGCTCGCTCTATACTCGCAGTCTCGCTTTCTCTCTCGCACACGACGAGTTGTGAGATGAGCTCGAAAAGATAAGCGGGCCCGAGCGCCCGAGTATCGAGATCAAAGAACGTTCCGAACTCTCGAACAATAGGCTTCCCCATCCATGGCAATTCACAAATATAAACATCTTATAAGTGAAAAACTAAAACCTTTATTTTGCATTTTATCTATTCGAAAATAATATTAATGGATTATTGAGATTTTTGCGATTTCAACGACACCAAACACGACATAAATCGGATAATTTTTAATTAAACAGATAATCATACAAGTTCCTATCGCATACAGCTATTCTACAGACGGCTTTTCACGGCTTTTTGAGGCAAAGAAAAATGCATTTTTGTAATATACGTGTTATAAGTAAATAAATCGTGTTATTTACATTTATTTTGTGTAAAAATTACATTTTATGGTAAAAAAAAATTTTATTTAAAATAAAAAAATATTAAAAAAAAAGTCACTCCTTGAGAATCGAACCTCTAACCTCGACGGTACGTGTCTAGCCCCTTAACGCTACGCCACACGCTCTTCGATATAACGCTCTATTCCATACGTATTTATACGGCACTCATTATTTTTGATTTCGATTTTCTCGCGTACGCTTGAGAAATGCATTTTATCTCTTTATTCCACAATAATTAAAAGGATTTCATTAAATTGACAAATATAGTCGTACTAAAAAAAAAAAAAAAAAATTGGCCCTGCGAGGTCTCGAACTCATCTCCTTTAACAGCTACGTGTTACTGGCGCTCATCTGTGCACATAGCACGGAATCGAACCACGTACCGTGCACATAGCCTGTTACCACTCGGGAGCATCGTGCACATGGCTACGTAGTTCAATGTGCACGTTTTGTGCACATAGAGGCGCTTTGAATTCCGGTTGCAGCTAAATCGAGGGGATGACCACTCTCATCCTTCTCTCTGCTATTAGGCACGATTATTATACGTCACGATTGACACTTTTGCGACTTTGAACCTGCGATATCATATGGTAGATATGTAGATGTATGTATCTATGTGAAGAGGCAATACAGAAAGGACAGTAAAAGTATCATATATATTGTTTTCTAAAATGCGATATTTTTTATATATTTTTATTATATTTTATATATTTAAACATATTTTCTAAAATAAAGCCTTCTGTGATATAATATGAATATTACATGCAATATAATTTATATTAAATATAATTTTAAATATCAAAAGTAATATTGTGAATATATTAATATTTATATTAATATTTATTATCATATTATATATAAATTATTTATTATCATATTATATATAAATATTAATATTTATATTATTTATTATCATAAAAATTTAAATAAAATCGATGTTATCTTTTAAATGTTTTTTTTGCAAAATAATAATTATTGAGACAATATATATAAAAACAAGACTTGATTGTATAATTTTTATCGCTGCATTAATAAGATGTGAAAAGATACATTTAAAATATCAACTCTTAATTATACACTGAATTATTTTCATTGAATATTATAGAAGATATATTGTGAAATTATCTTCTCCTTTTTTCTTCTCAAAATTTTATACTCAAATACATATTATATCTTTAAAATTTTTTGTTAACAATATATTATCTTAACACAATATTTAACATTTTTTTCTAGCAAGAAAGTTTTTTGCGATTAAAAAAAAAGAAGAGCAGAAATATGACTTTTTTACAGAACTTGATATTTTTCACATATATTATTTTTGACATATATTAATTTCCTCGACATTTTTATAAAATAAATAGGAATTTCTTCTGTTAGATTATTTTGTTTCTTCTCGCATTCTGAAAGTGTGCTTTTATTTATTTTTTTTAAACTCTCAAATAATCAAGTCATTTAATCCACATTAATATTCTTTTAATGTGAAGTGCAGCATTCGTTAATAAACAATTACTTCTATTCTTATAAGTTCTCTGGACTTACATATGTATTATAATAACTCTCGTAATTTCAAATAAACATTATCTATCCTTTCCACTCATTTAGTATTTCAAGAGTTAATACTAATCCGATGACACATAACATCTGCTAATATAATACTTTGGTGACAAAAAATAATATAGAGCAAGTAGAATGCTTATTCTACTTTCTACAAATCATTTCAATTTCGATACACGACATTATCCTGATTTTGTTATTATCAATTTAGTCAAAGAATATCCGTCATTACTTATCAAATACGTACATCGCCCTTGTATATTTTTCAAATTGACTAGATTAAGTTAATGCCCGACGACATTTTTTTACTAAACAATAAATACGATGTGTGACAAGAAAGAAGTCAAGCAAACGAATAATTCACATTCAATAGTAAACGTTTACAAGAAAAATTAAGAATATAAAATACGATATACGCTTTCCGACTTCTTATAAATCTCATTACTATTTTATACATACATACATAATCATTAAAAATATCGTTATGTTTCGTGCAAATAGAATTAGGCTCGTCCATGTAAATTCGATATATATTATCATATATGTATATTATCTACACGAGTTTAGCAAAAACATTATATTAAAGCTCTTGGCCGATCATGTTGGATTTGTGACGTCAGAGTGCGAGAAAATGCATGCTAAAAATTTTTAGATGCCATTAAACACCAAATAAAAAGATATTTCAATGAAACAGTATTTCAAGTAGTTAGCACACTCTTAAAATACCTCGAAAAGTATCCTTTTCCCTTTATGATCAATCAACAGCTGTAAAATGATTGTAATATGAAGCTCAGTCCACATGATAAAGTCTATCACGATCATTTTACGGTTGTCAATTGACTGTCAAGAGAAAAAACAGTTTTCGAAGTATTTTAAAAATATACTAGCCTGAAATAACGTCATCAAAATATATTTTTATTTAAATTATGATCTAAAAATTTTCAGCGTGTGCTTTCTCGCCCCTGACGTCACAATCTAACATGACCGCGGCAAGGACTCAGGAGCTTTAATTTGCGCAACTTTTATAAAATAAATATTTGCATGAACACCTAAGAACATTTGTGTAGTTAAAATTTAAGATATACATATATTCTCGCGTTCTCGAAACAATATTCGTGCCAAATGCACTTATAACACACAGGATTGAGAAAGTAACTCGTTAGTTGTAACAAAGTTGGTTACAATTAAATTTTTTTGATAATTATAACTTAACTTCTCTCATTTTTCTTTATCTATAATTGTAACTTATACTTTTTTGGTAACTAGTAACTAATTTAATAGTTATTTTTTAATAATTAGTTTATTTAAAACTTAGGGCTAACAATTTTTCAGAAAGTTAAATTGATTGTTTGAAATTTTATGAATTTTTTAACTGAAATATCTGACTCCCATAATTTTTATTCTAAGTAAATAATATTAATTTTTGAAAAAGTTAATTTATTACAAATTATTAATTTAATATATTTAATATATATGTATTAAATTATTAATTTAATATATTAAATATATTTTCATTTTTAATTTAAAACAGTTGTAATTACATATAAAATAATATAGCACATAATCAAATATACATATAGTTTAGTACAGATTGAAATATATATAAGACTATTATATTTAAAATATAATATAGTCATTGCAAAAAAGTTACCTCTGAAAAATAACAAGTTACAGTTATAATAACTCAAAAAATAACAAATTGTAACTATATAATTAGATATTTAAAAAAATAACTTTCTCAACCCTGATAACACATACATACACGCATACTACGTCGATCTCATTCACGATGACATCGATGTCATGTGAATTTCTTTATCCTATCTCAGTTTTATGCCTATTGCGTTATTCGTTCATTTATGGCACGGTATGCATAATACGATAAATGCACACCTTATCCGTATTTCGCGGTCTTAAAACTTTAAAAAGCACCATTATGTACATAAAATGTGTATAGAGACAATGATAATTTCGCACTATAATATTTACAAAATGATATAATAATAATTTCGCAAACGTAACGCATATATATAGCCGCTAAATACATCTCCTTTCTCGGAACAAGAGAAATCATGCCTTAATTCAGAGAGATGCCTTGTATCCACGAGCTAAGATCACTAGTGTCCTCGCAGCTGAGGCTCAGCGCGTGTTTCTCGCTTTGCTTCACCCCCAGTAGCAACTCGGCCGCCGTTCGACCCGTCAAGTACGCCCCGTGCACGGTGCTGTAGAACGAGGAATGAGTGTGTTCGCCTGCGAAGGCCACCAGAACCTTAGCCCTCCCGTCCTCCGTCTCAGTCCTCTCCTGGATCAACGGCTGGGCCAGACTCCGGATGTCCAGCTGACTCGCGCCGACGGCCATCGCAGTGTAGGAACCCCTGGTGTAGGGCTGCGAGTGCCACGTAGTGCGCAGACAGCTTTTCGGAGTCGGTACGAAGGGATCGTTGAGGAATCTCCGCAGAATCGTCGTGCACACCTCGGCCACCTCCACGGCGCTTAGCTTCTCCATGTACTCCGCAGCCCGACCGGATATCCAGCCCAGTAGCAGGGTATCCGAGATCTTGATGAACGAGTATATTTTCCGGAACCAGGTCTTGCTGACGTCCCGCCTCTCTGCTTCGGGCAGACGCTCGTCGTCCCAGAGGAGCATCACCTCCGAGACACCGGGATTCAGAAAGGGTCGTTCGTACTCGAGGAATATCTTGTTCACTGTACCGAACATTAATCTGTTTATCGCCTCGAGCTTATACGCCGGCAACGAAGGCTCGAATAATTCCGAAGCTGTCCTTTTCAGAACGCCCAGTGGTAACGTACATACCACGTGCTCCGCGGTAATCGTTTTTCCGTTTTCACATTGTACTTCTATGACGCTGTTGGATTTAGAATTCGAGTTTCCCGTAGAATCCTCGCCTTCCTGGGGACGCCATCTGCAAAACAGATCATTTTGTAGAACTAGTATATGTTAATGTTCAGATAAGAGTTCACTTGTTCCGGGTGATGCTAAGCTCTACCCAAAAAATTTGTTCACTGTTAAATACAAGTTAAAATAAATACATGTAACAACTTTCTGCTCCTTGCAGAGGTTTGAAAGCCTCTCACTAAACTCTAGATGAGGTAATTAGAGGGGATAAGAGCATAAACTAACTCGAATTATCTAAACAAGTGAACTTTTGCCTGTATTTACTGTAGGATTAATCACGACTACTCTCACCTAATCTTTGTCACGACATGATGGGCAAGAATAGAACTTTTTGGTATGTGCTTTGAAACTGGGTCCAATATAGCACTGTAACCGTTCGGAAGACTAATATTTCCACCTTGGAGCTCGTCGTAGGAGCCCATTTCCAAAAGATCCACCTCGTCCATGCTGTCGCAGCCTGTAACGCAGGTCTCCCTCTTGAGTAGACAGTCGAAGATCAGTTGTCTCACTCGTCGTTGCTCAGACGGCAGAGACGAAAGGTATAACTCTGCTTCCAGCGCGATGTGCGCTCCTACACTAGTGATACCATCCGGTGGACTGTATGTGCTCAGAAAGTACTCTTCGCATCGTCTCAAGAAGCACACATAAGCCTCGTAGATCTCTCGCAAGACAGGAAATGGTAACTGTTTCCCATCCTCCAACGCAGCCACCACTTTGTGGGGTTTCGGCACATGTACAATGTCTATCAAACCATTTGCCATTGCTAACTCGAACATGGGATTACCTAGCACGCCATGAATCCAATTTGCCCCCAATTCCACATTTTCATTGCCTATAAAATGGACAAAAAGGAAAAAATTAAGAGTTGTATACACAATAGTTAAATTTCTTATTCTATGTTATATTATAATTTTTTTTATAATGAGAATAACAGTATTATTAAAATTTCTAGGGTGTCCCATTTTAACTTTTGGATTGAAATTTCTTGAAAACTAAACTTTCTATAAAAAAAATATTTGAAACAAAAGTAGGATTTCAAAGGCGACGTCATAGTTTTATTCTAGGTGAAAGCATTTTTGAAATTTTGAGGTCATTACTATTATTTACATTTTTTTGTAATTAAATCACACTCTTTCCTAAGGCATTGTATCATATCATATTCCACTTAATTTTTCTATGTCATTAATAATTTATTGACAGTCTTTACTGTTATCTAAATAAAATTATATAGATGATCATCTAGATGAAATTTTGGCATCGTCTTATTTTTGTACAGATGATTAAAAATATGTATTATCTTTTAAATGTGAAAAAGTGTTATCTTTATTAAATTATATAGAATAATGTTCAGATAATTTCATTTAGTCATAGCGTATAAAAATATTTAAGTAGTAGAACTTAAGCAGTAAGCAATAAAAATTTACAAATAAAAATATAAATATATTTTTATATTTCTTTTATAATTTACATTTTTTTTAATAACTGTGTTTACATAAATAGTCTTAAAAATATTATCTGGAAATTATCTAGATAAAGCCATATCATTTTATCTTGTATCTAGATACATTTCAAACAAAATTACCTTTATATCATCTAACAAGAATGAATTTACATATTTTTATCTCATCTTTATCTAGTAAATTTTAAAATCATCTAAGCACAACACTGGTTGTGCTTATTATTAGATGATTTTATTAGTATTAATAATTTCAAACATAAGTAATATTTTTAAATAATCTTTCAATATACTATAACTGCGGAATATGTCTTATTCTATCACAGAGCAAAATAAGTTTATTAGAATAATTGACAAGGTACATAAAATTATATATTCAATATTATATGATTTTAATTTTATATATATTACATTTTATATATATATTTAACACTCTGTAAGAAAACAAATCAAAAAGAAATTTTAACCATCAATTTTTTTCGCCTACTAACGAGAAATTGCGTTAAAAGTTTTTTCGGCTTAACTTATGTCAAATAGCTATTAGTTATTTTAACTGGTATTTAATATTTTTTATATACAAATCAATCATAATTATTAAGTTAATCGCTTAACCGTTTAACTGATTATAAATTAACTCCTCCATTCAGTCAACTGCAATATTTTATTTTATTTTAATTTTATTTTAAATATATACTTTAACGCTTTTTGTATTAAAGAAGACTGACAATGAGTCCAGGCGAAACGTACGTATACCTTATTAAATAATAAAAAAATTGTTTTATTAATATCCAAATATAGCTCGTTTAGTTGGCTTACTCACTTTTTAATTTTATATATATTTTATTTATCTCCAAAAATAATTCTTTTTCCAAAAGATATAATTTCCCTAAATCATAATTTATGAATATTAAAAATTTCGAAATTTCCAAATATTACAACAGCAATTGCGGAATATGGTCTCATATTTTATAATAAATCGCAGCTAGATAAATAAATAAATAATTTAGAAAGCAGGTGACACAAACACTGACGGAGAGGTTACATCGCTCGTACCGATTTGCGCGGACACAATTCGTCCGCCTATGCGTCCGCGCGCCTCGAGGATGAGCAAGTCCGTCTCGCCGTTCTTCAGCAAGTGACTCGCCGCCGACAGTCCGGCCATGCCGGCGCCGACAATCAGGATCTTACACGAGAGTCGGTCATCTTCCGGATTATTTGTGGATTCCGCCATGTTCGTCACATATGACCGATCAAGGCTGGCCGTAGTGGCTGTGGACGTACGAGATATGTAAGCTTTCGAAATTTAGCACTGGGGCTCTGTAGCGCTCGTGTATGTATATATGTATTTTAGCGGAAGAAGATTCCTGCTGAGGCGTCTTGGATGCAGGTAAGTATATTTTCTATATCTTTCTAAATATATAAGAATACTTTATTACTTCTTTGGTAACGGACAGTATCATAGTATCAAAGGCAGACAAAAGAGAGTGTGTTCGGTGAGAAAGAAGTAATAAAGTCTCCTTATATATTTAGAAAGATATAGAAAATATACTACTTGCATCCAAGACGCCTCAGCAGGAATCTCCTTCCCGCTAAAATACATATATACATACACGAGCGCTACATTGGTGACCCCGACGTGATCCCGCGTAAGAAAGGATGCCTGTAGACAGATCGCCTTCACGAGGAATAGACGCCCCGGGCGCTGGCACAACCCAAAATCAGCCCGGTGGCAACCAGACACCCCAAGGACGCGAGCCCAACGGCGGAGTTTCAGTGGTATCTTCCCGCCATATCGAACTGCCGCCATTTTATCAGGCCGATCCACGGCTATGGTTCGCCCAGGTAGACCTTGTTTTTGCTAACTACAATATAACGTCTGATACCACAAAGTTCAGATACGTTACCACACAATTGTCCGGCGAAGCTCTGCGTAGCGTGTCCGATCTTGTTATAAATCCGCCCGCTCAAAATAAATATGAAAGCATCAAGCGGCGCGTTATGTCCGCCTATGATGAAGGAGATGAAGCACGCCTCCGACGCCTACTCCGTGGCCACGAGATGCGTGATGAGAAACCGACGGCTTATCTACATCGTTTACGAGCCCTCGCAGGGGACCAGTGTGGAGACGTCATCATTCGCTCTCTGTTCTTTGAGCAATTACCAGAAGCTGCTCGAGCAATACTTGCAATCTCCGACACATCAGATCTCCAGCGGTTAGCAGAGATAGCTGATAAGGCACTAGACGTGATGAGGCTGATGGTAGCAGCAACGCAAATTGTGCCTGCAAAAAGTTCAAACACACAGGTTACCTCAGGTACGCACTCTACATTAGAAGAGTCACTTAACGCACTCACATTACAGGTCTCAAAATACAGAAACAACTAGATCGCAACAAACGATTCCGTCGCTCCCGTAGCAGAGGAAGAGGAAACCAACCTAGAGCATTGACACCTGCACCTACGCATTCAAATAAGCCTAGTTCTGTTACTATCATAATAGATTTGGTGCCAGCGCAAGAAAATGCCAGAACCCTTGTACGTGGACTCAAGGAGCTAAGCCACAGAAAAACTAATAAAATCTCCGTACATAGGGGTGACTATGGAGATCAATGAGACGTCAAACTGCCTCACAGTCATGGATCATTACCCATACAGCACCGTTAGATTGCAAAAACATTACAACAATCTTTCACCGCAATATTGCAATATTGCAAATTCACTGCAAAATGTTGCTACATCATTGCTGTTGAATTGCAACAATGTTAAAATGTTCGCTTTTTGGAAGATAATAAAATTATTGATTATTGTTAACATCTTTTATTGTACAATATTGCAAAAAATTATTTTATTACAGTATTATACCCAGCAAATACCAAGTTACAGTTATATAATTGTTAGTTGTAATTTTCCACTCAACAATATAATTGTTATAATACACGTATTATATTTTTGAGTGGGAAATTACAACTAACAATTATATAGTTGTAACTTGGTGTTTGCTGGGTATATGTATATATATTACAATATATAAATTATAGAATTTGGATTACATGCAATATTTCCGAAATATTAATGTCATGTTGCTACAAGTGTGCTGGAATTTTGTGCACCTATATCTCTGCAATGTCTTTATAATGTTGCATTGCAACTTGCAACATTGCAACGTTGCTGCAATATAATTGCAATAATCTGTGCTGTATGGGTACTCAAGGATGAATTTCCTAGTGGACACCGGTGCAGACGTTTCAGTTCTACCAAAACGCATGAAAGGCAAACAACCTATCCGTGCTAGGTTTACAATTTACACAGCCAACGGCACTATCATCCCCACTTACGGAGAGCTCAAAATGAAACTCAACCTTGCACTACGCAGAGATTTTGTTTGGCGATTTATTGTAGCTGACGTTCAACAACCGATATTGGGTGCCGACTTTATAAAACATTTTAAACTGCTTGTCGATCTCCACAACCGACGACTAAATTAATATAGAGACAAAATTGCACGTGCTAGGTAATCACAACATGCAACACCCCAAGTTTAACAAAAATCAGCTACAATAACTGTTACAGAAAAATTCTACTGGAATTCGACGAAGTAACACGTCCAATCAAAAGCCAGGAACCCACACACGGCGTGCAACATTATATAATTACTAACGAACACCCTGTAGCAGAGCGAGCTAGGCGTCTTTCACCAACCCGTTATAAGGCAGCCCGAATCGAATTCCAAAACCTCACCCAGCAGGTATTTGCGAGCCATCCTCTAGGCCATGGGCCTCTCTGCTGCATATAGTGAAGAAATCCAATGAAACATGGAGACCATGTGGCGATTATCGTCGATTAAACAAAGTCACCATACCTGACAGATATCCCGTCCCTCATTTACATGATTTTACGCACCGTTTACATGGATGCAAGATCTTTACTACGCTTGACCTCAACAAAACATTCCACCAAATTCCAGTGGCTCCAGAGGACAGACCCAAGACCGCCGTAATCACTCCTTTCGGTTTGTTCCAGTTCAACAAGATGACCTTTGGTCTCTGCAACGCTGCGCAGACGTTTCAGCGCCTGATGGATACGGTCCTCCGAGGGGTGGAATATGCGTTCGGCTACATTGACAACATTTTGATTGCATCTACAACACCAGAGCAACACGCAACACACATGCGTGAAATCCTGTCACGGCTACAGCAACACGGCCTATCCATCAATGTGGAAAAGTGTACTTTCGGAGCCGAGAAGGTCCGTTACCTGGGATATACCATTAGTCAGGAGGGTATCGCCCCTCTCCAAGAGCGCATAGTCACAGTATATGTATAACCAGTAGCGGCACTTCGTGTCGGTTCTTTTGATGTCAGTGTCCGAAATCATGTGACATGTCGCCATGTTCTTGATAGTAATAGCGCGCTTATATTTAAATTGTGAGAAAGAAAGGCAACTATATATAAACAATTATTTTTATAATTGTGCAGACAATTATTGTATAAATAACCACAATGTATATTTTCTTGAAATACATATTACATATGTAACATTAAAGTAACGCAAATAATCATATAAACATAAAAAAAGAAGAAATTTAACAAGTAATAATATTAAAATATATCTATGTGTTATTTAATAAATTATTTTTTTATTATGTTTGTGTATTATTTAATGAATTATTTATATTAAACAAGTAACATATTTATTATTGCCATTTTATTTATAAACATATTGATGTACATTTAGATTATTTACAATTGAAATGTATATAATGTGTAAAATTACGATAAATTCGTGATCAATGATTCCAATTTTTTGTTATACTCTTCAAAAATACGAAATCTCAAATTTTAGATGTATATAAAAATTGATAATAAATAAATGTATATAACAATTCTATGTAATTTACAATTGGTTATAAAAGACTAATTTGTTTTATATTATCAGGTGTATTATTGTTTATCTGTTTAATGTACTTAAATTGATTTCTGTCTTGTTATTATGAATACGTATGAATACTTATAAGATAAGCTCCATTTTGTGGATAGGTATGTGTTGAATAATTGAACAGGAATTCAGTCACCTAGAAAACAATATTAATTATAAAATAAAACACTTTTTATTAATATTTTTAATATTATAATGTTTAGAAAAAACAAAAATTAGACATTTTCTGCATCTTTACACACACACACATATATATATATATATATATATATATGTAGCAATTGTGCTCTAGAATAAATGTTATTGTAATTTTAGAAACAATTAAATTTTATATATACGTATGTAGGAAATTGTCAAACAATTAATACCTTTCTGGATGAGATGGAAAGCGAAAAAAGCTCAAGTGACGACTGGAGCCGGAATTTTTATTGCAATCTTGCATTGCGCACGCGAAACCACCAACAACTACGCGACGTTCCATTATTATAACAATGTTTTTTAAAAATATTTTCAGACCTAAAACTTAATAGAGTCCTTTAATTAACTTGAATTCATTAAAAGGCTATATTTATTTTGATAAACACAACCACCACTTACTGTGTTTACAACTCACTGTACACCATATTGTGGATAGTAATCCAACGCATGCGCCGTAGCATTTCTCCGACGCTATTTTTCTTGAGTGACGCTACTGGTTATACATATACTGTGGCATAGTTGCAATTAGGGACTATCCCATACCGAATACCGTCAAGGAACTACGCAGATTCCTTGGTTTCATCAATTTTTACCGACGCCTACTTAAAAGAGCAGCATTAATTCAAGCACCCCTACACAAACTCACAACCGGAGCAACCAAGCGCTACAGCTCTATATTCGGTATTACCATCTAGCGACACGTATCGATAAAAGTTATATTCTGTACAATACCTTTTATTAACAATGAACACGTTTTGATGATCTCTCGTCGGTATTGTCGGTCATAACCGATGACCGATAATGTCGGTATTGACCGACAACTTTCGGCAGAGAGAAAGAAAGCATAGATCGAACTTGAGACAAAAGTTGTCGGTCAGTACCGACATTATCGGTCATCGGTTATGACCGACGATACCGACAAGAGATCATCAAAACGTGTTCATTGTTAATAAAAGGGCGCGTACAGAATATAACTTTTATCGATACGTGTCGCTAGATGGTAATACCGAATATAGAGCCCCAGTGCTAAATTTCGAAAGCTTACATATCTCGTACAGCCACTACGGTCAGCCTTGATCGGTCATATGTGACAGACATGGCGGAATCCACAAATAATCCGGTGGATGACCGACTCTCGTGTAAGATCCTGATTGTCTTAAATATATTATATATATATATATATATATATATATATATATATATTCATATATATATTCTCGTATATATCGGGTCGTTATCCTGTTGAAATATAAAACTATCTTCCAGACCAATTTTTAGCAGAGATTCTTCCAAATTTTCATTGAGAATATCAATGTAATAGTCTGCTGTCATTATACCGTCGATTTTGAACAAATTTCCCATACCTGATCACGCAAAACATCCCCACACCATTATACTGCCTCCTCCGTGCTTAATTCCGATGACCGATAATGTCGGTACTGACCGAATTAATACTGTAATTTAATTAATTCTTCAGTTTTCAAACTTTTATTGTGATGCGTGAGTGACTTTGCATGATATGATATATATATATATATATATATATATATCATATCATGCAAAGTCACTCACGCATCACATATATATATATATATATATATATATATATATATATATATCGGGTCGTTATCCTGTTGAAATATAAAACTATCTTCCAGACCAACTTTTAGCAGAGATTCTTCCAAATTTTCATTGAGAATATCAATGTAATAGTCTGCTGTCATTATACCGTCGATTTTGAACAAATTTCCCATACCTGATCACGCAAAACATCCCCACACCATTATACTGCCTCCTCCGTGCTTAATTGCCTTTTGGATATTTTTATCTAAAAGTTTTT